GCCGTATATGTGAGTGAAATTCTAAAATGTTGTGGGTCTTTGGTTCTAACATAACACTCAAAGTAATTCTTTATGGATTACTGTCTCTTTCCTGTGACTTTAGATGATAGTGTCTATCTTTCTATCTATCTATCTATCTATCTATCTATCTATCCATCTATCTGTCTAAACTGTCCTCCTTGAAACAGATGATATCTGAAACAAGAAGGTCCAATAAAGTAATGTAGTTCAGGAGATATTCCTAATAGCTAGGATTCCACACACACCACCTCTTTTAATCATTTTCATCTATCTATCTATCTATCTATCTGTCTAAACTGTCCTCCTTGAAACAGATGATATCTGAAACAAGAAGGTCAATAAAAGTAAATGTAGTTCAGGAGATATTCCTAATAGCTAGGGATTCCACACACACCACCTCTTTTAATCATTTTCACATTTTTTAAAAAGGAAAGATACATCAAATAAATACAAACATAGATTTAGTAAGGTGAGATGTTATGCAAAAGGATTATTGATAGAGCATGGGAGGGTGAGGGAGAGAAGAGATTACAATCATGGGGAATTGGTTCCAGGATGCCTTGCAGATACCCCAGATTACTATGCTCAAGTCCCTCATAGAAAATGGCATAATATTTACATACAGCCTATGCACATGCTCCCTTATATTTTAAGTCACTCTAGATGACTCATACTTACATACAATGTAAGGGCTGTTTAGATTGTTGTTATACTGTCTTGTTTCAGGAAAAATGGAAAGAAAAAAGTCTGTACACACTCAGTACAGGAGCAATTTCTCTACTCACTATTTTTGATCCTTGGTTGGTTGAATCTGTGGACATGGAATCAAGGAGCATTTCCCCTTGGGAAAATGCTCTGACAATGAAGTCTGCAGATTTCTCAAGAGTTAGACTAGAAAGGGTTTTCTTTTATAAAGAGGAGTAGACAAAGCTAAAGAGAACCAGGTGTGGGAAGTGAGATGAACCTTTGGCATGACTAGATCAGAGAATGTTTTATCTAAAAGCTAGCCTGATCTTAGGAGGCACTATATGCTGCTTGGGCTGAGGATGGATCAAAGTTCATGCACCTGAAAAAAACTGAACCAAAGTGCAGTCAACAGCATTTTGTTCCAATTGTCGTGAAGATAAAATGGTTCAGCTCATCATTTATGAGGCAAATTTATGAGGCATTTATGGAAGGTCTAGTCTTGATACAGAAGGGGACATTTATGAGCTTATCTAAGTTATTTGGGGGGAGAGAACTCTTTGGAATAAGCTGTTTTCTGGAACACAGAAGGTTTAACCTTCACCATGTCATTGTAGAATAACAACTCTGAAATAAGAAAATAGTTTATCCAGAGCCAAATATGAGTGACCACGCTCCAGGAACACAAACCCAAGTTATCAGGAATAACATGGTCCCTTCTGTGAAAGACGTTATATAAACTTTCAAAGAAGGTGGGGGTCACCAAGTAGGAGGACAATAAACATGTGGGAAAATTTATAGGATTTGGATGTTATCTTCAACAAGGTGGAAAAATCCTACAGGATTCAGATGCTACCAAATTCTTAGTTTTAGAGTGGGTAGAGGCCAAAGGACTGTCGAGCTTAGTACACATTACAAGAGTTTTATCTAATGGTCACAAAAATGCTAAGTCATATATAGAGGTTGATAGTAAATGGTTATTGGAAGGGACTAAAGACAGCTCAAGATAACTTTAGCTTCTTTTTCTGCCACATTCCACCTCTCCACCATCACTATGCTCCAAATCAGTGAAGGTCAATTAGTCTGAGAGCTCTTGAGTATAGATGTGACTTCTTAGAACTTCAGCTCACAACTGTTGTCCAGAATCACAGGGCTCAGATAAAATTCACAACTGTCAGATCCAGAAGCAGAAGTCTTTTCCCCCAGGTCATTTATACAAGGTGCCACTCTCTCTGAACATGCATCCACTCACATAATCATTTACGCCCCCCTTCCCCCTCAGTCTTAGCTGTCGTTTGTGTTCAATCTTTTCATTCATCTTTGAAAATGACCCAGGATTCTTTATTGAGGTCCACAGGTTCTAACACAAACCAATTAACCTCTCTCTTGTCTTCACAGTTGTAAAACAAACTCCTGCAGAAAAACTCCATCAGAAAAATCAGTTCCCAGCTCTACACTGGGAACACGAACTAGGCCTAGCATTCACCAAGAACCGGATGAACTACACCAACAAATTCCTGGTGATTCCAGAGATGGGAGACTACTTTGTTTACACCCAGATCACATTCCGCGGGACCACATCTGAGTGTGGCGACATCAGCCAAAGGAAAGGACAGAACAAGCCAGACTCCATAGTCGTGGTCATCACCAAGGTAACAGACAGCTACCCTGAGCCTTCCCAGCTCCTCACAGGGACCAAGTCCGTGTGTGAAATAAGCAGCAACTGGTTCCAGCCCCTCTACCTCGGGGCCATGTTCTCCTTGCAAGAAGGGGACAAGCTGATGGTGAACGTCAGTGACATCTCTTTGGTGGATTACACGAAAGAAGATAAAACCTTCTTTGGAGCCTTCCTGCTATAGGGGAATAGCAAACACCATCATGAGAAGGTCCCTGCCTCCTAGTTCCCAATTTTTTTTGCTCATATATAATAATAGCTGGGGATTTTCTTGGAGATAAAGGTAGGGGGCATTCCATACTCACAGGGTTTAGCTATGAAATTTAGGGCCCCAAAGTTTACCTAAAAATGCCTTCCTGATGAGAATTTAAATAGGAAAAAAAGCAAAAGAAGCAGATGAGTTATCCTGGTTGCCGGAGGACAGTTGTATTTCTAAACATTGAAACATTGCTCACCAAATGAACAGGTGATTGACTGGGTCAGGATTTAAAAAAGAGTATCTCCATGCCTCTTGCTACATACTTGTCAGCCATGATTGAATTTGATCACAAACTTCTTCCATTCAGGAACTTTGAACAAAATCCAAAGAAAAGTTCAAGGGGATAGTGTAAGTCTTCCTGAGGCAAAATCCTTTACCAGCATTTCCACATACTTTCACACCTAACTTAAAAAAAAATGAAAAGACAGCTGGTATTTCTCATGAATGTTCCCCAAAAGGAACTGTTTTTCCATGTCGTGTGTGGCCTAAGAGAAAAGCTACCTTTCTTTCGGTTGCATACACAGCTGCAAAAATAGGCAAGTGTGGCTTCTACATGTCTATCAGAAATGCAGTGATAGCATATTTCCAATTGTCAGCACAGGTTCCTTGAGTGCCGATTATGTTCTGGGCACTCTTTGGCCCAGAAGACACAATGAAGAGCAACCAGATTCTATTCAAAATTCATATGAATACCACTCGATGCTTTCTGGTGAAATATCAATCAACATACTCCAAAGAAAAGTTCAAGTCCTTAAAAAAAAAATCTGAAAATGTTATTTCTGGCATTTTCCTATGTAAACCATCCAGCTGACTCAGTCACTCAAGAAATTTGGAGAGAGATTCCTTGCCATCTACACCAACCATACAAAAATGTGATCGATGCCAAGAGACAATGGACTTATTCTCTGGGGAGGAAAAAAATATGTCAGTTATCAAATTTAGAGAAATTTTTCCATGTCTGCTTTTGATTTGCAACTTTTATGCAGAGTGTAATGTGGGTATTTTTCCCTTAAAATAGTCAAAGAGATTTAAATGTGAGATTAGCTAATCAGTCCAGGTAAGGCCTCTCCCCCCATGTCAGCCTGACTCTTGAGAAGGTCCCCTCTGTGCCTCATCTTGCTATGTCCTCAGTAGCATGATTTTCCTGCGTTCATATGTGATGGGTGGGAGGGATAGCTCTGCTCTCTTAGCCTTTGTAGGCTGCTCCGTAAAGCTAGAATCCACCAAATTTTTTTCCAGGATCAAATGAACTCATTGGGATGAAATGGGTTAACTGCCTCTGTGTGAGTTGAGGGCATTTGGCTGTGACATGGCCAGGTACTTCCAGTACTGTGGACTCTGTTTTAAATGCTCCCTATCATGAGGGACCTCAGAGATCGGGCCCCACAATCGCTCTTACGATGGTTTCTAAGAAGCTATTGAAGCAGAGAGACTTGCAATGTGGCCCTTGAACACAATAACTGATAGGGTGGTAACTGATCAATATTTGTTAAATAATAATTAAGTGAAAATTTATTTCCCCATTCTCAGTTGAGAGGTTGACTCTCAACAAACTTTGTAACCCTTGTCAGGCTAACTTACACCAGGCCTCTTTCTTACCTTCAGTTTCCCAAAATAGTCAGCACAGAATTCAGTGAGAGCCCAGGGCAGGGTGTGGTCACAAGAGTGTTCACAGAGGAAGTGAACACTGAAAAAAGGTGGGTAGCCCCCAGATGACCACAGGGAAGGGCATCTCTGAAGGAGGAATTACCCGTTGCTTAAATCAGAAAGGAAAGGTCTCTCATGAACTCCAAAACCAGTTTGACAAAAAGGTGTTTCCTCCACTAACCCTGAGAACAATATTGATTGGTAGTCAATATTGGCTTTGCACTGACTCTAGCCAGGCTCTATGATCAGAACATCCCAATAAAAGAATAAAAGTCTCTGTCTTCCCCTGTCACCACCATGCATGAGAGCATCAAACTCAGGCTTCTCAGACAGAATTTGTACTCACCCTCTGCTAAAAGGAAGCCTGTGTCAAGAGTCTTCAATCCTGCCCAGAGAGGAACTGATGGATTTGGAGGTTTACCCAAGACAGGAATTTCCTAACACCCTGAAAAATATTACTCCAGTTTTCATTGTTAATTTTGTTAAATTCTTAACAATAGATATTTTACTATTCAGAAAAGTACAGCCAAACATTCCTCACAGGACTCAAAACAGACTTCTGTTTCCAAGGCATTAACTCCATAGGAAAAATTAGCATGGCATTTTTAAAAACTGAGTGTAAAATGCTTTTGAAGACTATGCAATGATCTCCTGAGAGGGGTTAATGGGATACATTCAATAGAGAAAAGGAACCAGCTTTTATAAAATAGTTAATTTAGGGAGAAAATTATTGTTTAAATGTCTCTGAAAAAACCAAACTCAAATCAATTCTACAAACATTTACTGAGTACCTACTTGCCTGGGGACAGAGAGATAATTTATTTTATTCTCAGATGTGCTCATTCTAACTGCTCAGTGTCTCCATTGTCTTAGAGCTTTTAATTTATTTTGGTTGAATTAGCTAATTAATTAGCTAGCTTTAGGTACATTGATATATTCTTATGAAAATAGATGCCATTTGATGAAGGATAATCATTAACCAAATGGTTTGTATTCCCTCTGTTTTTTTTTCTATAAATAACTACTCAAATACCGTTTCCATAAATAAATGGGTGTGGGAGAGACAAAGGTACTATTTCCTATGGGAGAATCCAGCATTTTGAACTTAACTTGGTTTAGATCTATTTGCTAAGCTAACTAAAATTTATTTTTTTTTTACTAAGGTACAATAGGAAAAGTGAAAAGTGTATCTTTTCATACTCTGAAACATTCCAGGTTCAGTTCAACATTAGGACATGCCAAGCCCTTGGCTGAATTTCAATCTATGTTACCCCGGAGGAAATTCCACCTCTGTGCTTGGCAATAACCTCTCCGGATTGTAAAGTTCACCAGCTCTCTGTTGGCCTGGTCGGTACCAACGTGCTCTTACAGGAATTTTCTGAAGTCCTTACTCAATCGTGTTTCCATGATTGTGACATTGGGGATTCATTTTTAGGACAGGTCTTTTTATGTTCTGTACCTTGCAAAATACATACAGATGTCTTGTTTTCTCAAAATTTTTAGGGCTTTTTTAGGGCCCAGAGTCCTGGAAGTGTTTTGCCATTTTCAGCAGAATTTTCTTTATAAGTGTACATTATTATCCTAAATATTAATAGACTTGTATCATATTGATTGCTAGGTCCTTGGAAAATTCAGCAAATAATTATTAGCCCTTGAATCTTCTGCAGTGGTGAGAGTGGTCACATTTTTCGCCTGGCTCTACTCTAACAACCATATTTGCAAATTCTCGTGCTCGCTTCGGCAGCACATATACTAAAATTGGAACGATACAGAGAAGATTAGCTTGGCCCATACGCAAATTCTCAAGTTCTAAGACACATTTTTCTCCCACCTTTTCCATTGCTCCATTTTTAAAAGAAAATACACACCAGCCTGAATAAAAGTTACTTGTCCAGGACCCCACAATGGTAGATCCAGAGCTAGAATTCTGTCTTCCTGAATCATAAACCTGGGCTCATTCAATTCCCCTCTACTCTTGGGAAATAGTATTCAATGTGATGACTGGAGGAGAAACTGAAGAAAGATAGGAGTGTCTTCAAACACCAATGGGACAATGTAAAAGGGCAAGGAGACATCTTCCTTTTATCCCCAAAGGATACAGATGGAGCTGAAGAGGTGCCATTCCAGAGTCACCATCTCTGGCTTCATACCCAAATGAACTTTCTGCCCCCAAATAGAATTTTTTTCCAGGTAGTGAATTCTCATTCCTGGAGCTATTCAAGCAAAGGACTTATTAAAAGAGTTTTATGGAAGTCATTGCTTCATTGACGTTAGAGCCAGGATTGAGCCAAACGATTTCCAAGGTTTTTCCAAATCTATGACCATGTGGCCATAGTCGACTCCCATGTGTTCTGTTTGATCATGATGAACCCGGAAGCTTTGCCAAAAATTCAGGGTTCATGGCCAAAATGTAGCTATCATCTCCCACTTGATCAGAGCATGTCCAATACGAAGTAACAGAGGTCTTGGCCAACAGAGAAATGTCATAGAATTTTAGAACTGACATGGTATTCAGAGTTTACCTAATCCAAATTATATAATTTCAAGGATGAAGAAAATCATGTGCAGAGAGGTGACTTAAGTGGTTCATTTTCAGGCAGTAGCATGTTGGAGCGTTGAGACTAAAATTCCTATCTTCTGACACCAAGCCCAGCAGTCTTTCAATTTCATCCATGAATTGTTTATATTTTGAGCTTCTGTCACATGACACTACTTGCTTAGATGCTGGAAAGTTGAGAGGAACAATGACAGACAAGTCCTACTCTCAAAGTATATGCAAGCAGGAAGAAGACACACAATGAGTAAAAAGGTAGCTGACTTAAATGATTTTATTCTTAAAGTCATTAAACTATGTAACTTTTCCCTCATTTATTTCAGGGGGTGTATAAGTTGAACAAATGCAGGTGTTTATGTGATTTTAGTGAGAAGCCCCATGTGCTTTCATTGATTTTATGTTTTATGTTAAAACGTCACAATCCTGAGGTAAAATGCATATTGTATGTTGTTGGATATGTAATTAACTGGTATGCATCACATGTTTTCCAGCTCTGCTGATGAATTCTAATCTCTATAAATGAAAGGTTGTATATGTTAATCTATTTAACAAATATAACTTAGTAAACTGGCTGCAAAATTTTGACAATTATATCAGTTCTTTGTTGATCTGCTTGTTTATTTATCTTTTTAGATTAGGGTCCAAGGGCAACCTCTTGGGATTTTAAAAAATGCATCGAGCTCTTCATGGATTTGAATGCAACTGATTTTCACAGTTTATAATTAGTCTTCTAACAAATTGGTTGTGAGACATCACACTGGTCAGATGGGAAGAAGGAAAAGATGGAGAAAATCTTCTCAGTTCCTTTTATGAATTAGGGGACTGTAGATTGGGTAGTTTGATCTCATAGTGAACAACCTT